CCTTTTCTCTGAAAACATTGTTGCTGGAGTTAATTTGCTGTCTAGGGATCTATGGAACATATTCTGCAGAACTAGAAATAGCTTTCTTTTTTTTTTCTTATTAAAGTATAAAAAAAAGATTAAGATTTCACCAAGCTCTGTCATGAGCAGTGGAAAATGTTAAAGCAATGACAAATGTGATGTTAATCTTTGCCAACTTCCACTGTATCAAAATACTATGAATCTGTTTTTCAGATACTAGTTTAAATTTACTAGACTTCAAAGTAGTTTGTTTTTCAGCCACTATTTTGTTAGTGACTAGGATTTGCCTTTAGCTGGGGCCATTCATGAGTTGGGAATGTTGGTTCATGAAATTCTTTTATATAGGGATTATATCAGTATTGATTTAAAGCAGTTAATTAATACTAAAACTGTCAAATTAAGCTGCTCTAGTATATAATCTGAGTACTAAGGCCTGCATCTTGTATTTATTTCTCATAATACTATGTTTGTTCAAATAACTTGAAAATATATGTTTACTATTAAAAATTATTTACATGGAGGGCCAAATGGGGACATTTTAAATAAGCACAAATGACTTAGGCTTCTCTAGTGAGCTAAGAATTAATACAAATTAAGTCTAAATGTAAACATTCAGTTGACTCACATTCTTCATATGTAAATTCTGGTAAATCAGGAGAATTAAAAATCACACCAAGAACTTCTTGGCATTTGTCCATGTCTCTTGCTGTGCTTTTATATTGACTCTTTTTCTCCAAACGTTGTCCTTTATTCATATTCATGTGAGAAGTTGGCATGAAAGATGCCATCCTCAGGTATCTTTGATTTCTGAAAAAGTAATTACTGTATTTATAAAGTTCCTGCAATTGTTGTCAGTAATCAAAAAAAGCTATCATGAGGGTGGCTGTAATGTGTTTGAAGGGAGTAAAATGTAGAAAACATTGTTTGGTAACAAACATAGAATGGGGCTAGAGGAGGTGGTTTAACCATTATTTTGAGAGTTTTGGTTTTTTAAGTATGTAAGTAGAAACTTGACCAAAAGATGCGCTAGAGGAAAAACACTCTCTCTTCCCTGCTACAAAGACCTGGAAGGAATGCTTCCAAGTGTGTTTGATTTTTGGCGCATAGTAATGGGAAAGGGGGTGGGAAAGGGAACTAAAGAATCTGAATAAGTTGGCTGTTCAAAGCAAGGCTCATACCGAAAAGATTTTAGAATTTGGATCATGAGATTTTAATTTTCTTTTATCAACAACTAATGCATGAATAAGTCCCACATTACAAGGTTACAACATGTTTTCTTTTTCTCTGGTCCCCCAAACTGGAGTTAGCATTTGATGCAGGCTATATTGTTCATAGTATATCTTTCCAGAGATTTTGCATGCTTTTATAAGAATAAACATTTACACTCAGTTTTGTACATGCTTTTATAAGTTTTTTGTTTGTTTTTTGATACCGGGGATTGAACTGATGACCTTGCACTTGCCAGGCAGGTGCTTACACCACTTAGCTAAATCCCCAGCCTGCTTTTCTAAGTTTTGACAAGTATCTCACAGTCACACAGATAGAGCAGCCACTGTGTTGTTGAACAAGTGTACATATTTGTATACAATTAGAAACATTCGCTGTTTAACTGTCTTCTGTTGAGGTTTATTAGTAATTCTTCAATGAATATTTCTGTATAATTGTGAGTGTACCCAGAATATGAACCTTGAAATAGAATTGCTGTATCAAAGAGCATGTCCATTTAAAGTTTAAGAGTCTCACATTGTACTTCAGAGAGAGCCCATGGGCAGAGTACAAGAGGCACCTGCTTTCCCACACATCAGACTTACTGATCTTGGCCAATACTGTAGGTGAAAATGTTTCACTGAGGGCTCAGTTTGCCTCCCCCATTACATACGGTTAAAGGTGTTACATATCTGTGCTACTGTTCACGTTTTTGCCTCTTGTCTGTTGGGTTTTGGTATTTCTGATTTGTAGGAGCTCCTTATTTATTAAGGAAATAACTACCTAATGTTACAAATACTTTCCTACTTTTGTCTTCTAACTTCTCTGAAGTATTTTTTTACCATATAGTCACTTTTATATATCAGTTATCAGTTTTTGTCACTTTTAGGTTTTATACCATTTAAAAAGGGCTGTTTACTGTGTATGTATAAAGTCTATTTTTTTTCTAGTACTTTTAAAGTTTCATCCTTTTTTACTTAAGATGTTGATCCAGCCACTTTGATCTTAGTTTGTCATGATAGGAAGCCACCTTTATTTTTTTCTTTTTAAAATCTAGATTAACCATGCAATGTCTGTATTTTCTTTACCCTTTTTCTATACTTCCTTCATTATGTACTCTTCTCCTTATGCATTTGATTTTATTTCTAAACTTAAAAATTCTGTCCCAACAATTTGTCTTTTTTGTGTTAATAACATGCCTTTTGTGATACCTCTATTAGGCTAATGTACTTAGTCCCTATTTTTTCATGATTTTTTGGGTGCTTTTTTTACCCTTCTTCACATTGGAACCTTATACATTCCCTGGCTGAAGTAAGTTCTAATTTTGAATCTACTATAAATTCACAGGTTTTAAGATATATAAAAATTCTCACACATTTACTTTTAATCCCCAAAGGAAAGAGTCTTAGTGTCCAGATCCCTATCTTCAAGACCTATTGTGTTGATATCACATAGTGGTCCTGACTTTTAACCCTGTGTGACCTTTTTAAAACATCAGTGCAAGTATCCCATACACTGATAGCAAGGTGACTTTTCTGTCCCTGTGTGACCTCTCATTCTCGTATCTTACATATTAGTCTTGAAAGTACAACAGGCAATCAAGAGCATCGAGCAGGTCGTATTTTTGTAGATCAGCCAACATATTTGACTGGAATCCCTGTCACCAAATCACACATAATCTAGCTGTGTCTCAAAACAAAGCTAGAACCTACCTTCCTATAAAGAGAGTTATGTGAGACATAATGTACCATACTCTTCATAAGAGGGGCCACAAGGAACCACTGAGGGTCCAGAAAGCATCGGAAAAAAGAGAACTCTCATGTCTCAAATCTGGTTTGAAACTAAAGGCTATCCATAGCAAACATAAAATATTACATCATAGACTTTGCTTGGTATCTGTAATTTAGGAGTGTCTCGGATTGCATAGGGCTTTTAAGAGTGTCAAAAAAGGATAGAGGGTCAACTTTTATTTTCTCATTGACAGCTTTTTTTTTTTTTTTAAGCAGGCGGAATACTCATCCTTAGATGAGTCTTCCTAGAACCTACTTTGATCATGGTATTAAGCATCCCATTACCATCTGAGTTGGTTTTTAATCCCTTAATTTAGATCCTGAGTTAGGGGTACCATGATATGGCTTGAGGGGAGGGTTGGGGACCACTGGACACCTGCCATTCCAGCTGCATGCTGCTTTATTTTCCTCAACCCCAGCCAAAAACTCCCATTGTCTTTCTATTGACTTTTGTTCTGTACCCACAAGTGAACTCTCCTGTGGCCTTCCCGTTCACTCAATCAAGGGACTTCTCTTCCGCTCATGTTCCATTTACTTCCTGCTTGTAGAGCCATATATACCATATGAAAGATGCCTGGATTGACATCTTTTGATCTTATCCATCTTCACTAAGGGGAGCTATTAGCTCAGTTTTGTATGCCCAGCAGTGTCCTGATTCTGTGGGAATCCTGGCACTGGAGCAAGACCAGAAATCCATGTTGGAACCCCAAGAGAATGCATGCTGATGTGCATTAAAAAACAGCAGCTTCCAAACAATGAAACTGCATCAGGATGGATTTTGTCTGTGTGATAAGTCAGAAAGCACAGAGGTGGCGAAACTGGTCACAGAGAAATGTGAGGACAGCAATGTGACCTGTTGTTTTCAGCTTTTTTATTTGTCTATCTAACATTAGACTTACCTGTGTCCACAGGTATCTTAGCTTTCTAATATACCAGTATATGGTTTTATATATTAGGATTTTTATAATGGGGTTTGCAAAGATCTGTTGCATCTCACTTTTTGAGAAGTACAACATAGTTGAAACTTACTTTGGATACTTCATGGTTCTGGCAAGTGAAGCATGAGAAGCAGTGTTTTTCTCCTAGTACTCAGTGATAACTTTATTTTCTTCAAGTACCTTCATGGAGCTCTTTTTCAAAATACGGTTGAAACATTACACCACTCCAAGGAAGTTGCCAGGTCCTGCATAGGGCATCCGTGCTGGAGGGCTGGTTCCACTCTACAGCTGAGCTAACCTTTGGTTGACCAGAAACTTTGTCCTGTATGTGGCTTCTTGTTTCTATCCTGAATGACAGAGTATTTGTTATAAGACACATGTGATTTATAGGGGAAAGGGACTTGGGAGTCTTTCAAAGTGAATGTACAGTGTGCTTTGTTTTGGTAGAAATGGTCAGATTCCAAAATCTTGGTGAGGTTGCAGCATAAAGTGGAGAATTTGTCTTCTTCAGGGAAGGGAGTGTGTGTGTGTGGGTGTTGTCTAGGTATCAGTTGAAAATGTAGTTAGGGAGCCAGCAGCAGAGGAGGTAATTGATAAGTCCAAAGAAAACACGGCAAGTGAGCAAAACATACAGGCTCTGTATTTTACCTTTTTCCTCTTCTTTTTTAAATAGGCTCTTTCTTGATTGAAAGTGTGTTGAGGTTACTTGGTTTAGTAGGGTTGTCTGTATTCTCTCACACAAAGCAACTTGATCTCTCATCCCTCACAGACCAAACAAGCAAAATGATAGCAGAACCAAAACTGACACAAAACAATGTCATGACATGATGCAAACTGATAGAGTGAAATTTGAGCATTCATCCTTACTCTCTGTGTTTACATTTTCAACTTATTTAATTTTCATAGTAGCACCAAACTGCAGGTGCTATGACAGCCACTTCACAGGAAAATGTTCAGGGGTGAATAAGCATTTACTCTGAGCTCTGTGAGCTGCTTTGCAGTGTTGAAGTGAATCCTAACTTTGTTTTTCACCCCTCACTTGCAGTTTTCCTGGCCAGAATATCCCCACAATGGCAGAGGAGAGCAGCAGTACCCAGGACTGTGTGTCCTTCAGTGTGCTCAACTGGGATCAGGTTAGCCGTCTGCATGAGGTCCTGACCGAGGTTGTACCCATTCACGGACGAGGCAACTTCCCCACCTTGGAGATAACCCTGAAGGACATCGTGCAGACTGTCCGCAGCCAACTGGAGGAGGCAGGCATCAAAGTGCAGGACATCCGACTGAATGGCTCTGCTGCTGGCCATGTTTTGGTCAAAGACAATGGCTTGGGTTGCAAAGACCTGGACCTGATCTTTCATGTGGCTCTTCCTACAGAGGCAGAATTTCAGCTGGTAAGAGATGTGGTTCTGTGTTCCCTTCTGAACTTCCTGCCCGAGGGTGTGAATAAGCTCAAAATCAGCCCAGTCACTCTGAAGGAAGCGTATGTGCAGAAGCTGGTAAAGGTCTGCACAGACACAGACCGCTGGAGCCTGATTTCCCTCTCCAACAAAAATGGCAGGAACGTGGAGCTCAAGTTTGTTGATTCCATTCGGCGTCAGTTTGAGTTCAGTGTGGACTCCTTCCAAATCATCCTGGACTCTCTACTTTTTTTCTATGACTGCTCCACCAACCCTATCTCTGAGGACTTCCACCCCACAGTGATTGGGGAGAGTGTTTATGGGGACTTTGAAGAAGCCTTTGACCATCTGCAGAACAGACTGATCGCCACCAAGAACCCTGAAGAAATCCGAGGTGGGGGTCTTCTTAAGTATAGTAACCTTCTCGTGCGGGATTTCAGGCCCACGGACCAAGAGGAAATCAAAACTCTGGAGCGATATATGTGCTCTCGATTTTTCATCGACTTCCCAGATATCCTCGACCAGCAAAGAAAGCTGGAGACCTACCTGCAAAACCACTTTGCCGAAGAAGAGAGAAGCAAGTATGACTACCTCATGATCCTGCGCAGAGTGGTGAATGAGAGCACCGTGTGCCTCATGGGGCACGAACGCAGGCAGACCCTGAACCTCATCTCCCTCCTGGCCTTGCGTGTGCTGGCTGACCAGAACATCATCCCTAATGCCACCAACGTCACCTGTTACTATCAGCCAGCTCCTTATGTCAGCGATGGCAACTTCAATAACTACTATGTTGCCCACCCTCCAGTTACCTACAGCCAACCCTACCCTACCTGGCTGCCCTGTAACTAACCTTGAGACCTGAGAGTTTCCTCGGTGGGAACCCACTAGGCATGTGCTCTTGAGTAGGGGAGCCTCCTTTTTGGGGTAGGTGTTTGGCTTTTAAAGGAGAACTCAGCTCTGATTCTGATTTTTTTTTTCTTTGTGTACCCATTGGAATGGGTCTGCAGTATACCATGAGCCAACCCTAAAAAGACCCATCTTACAGTGCCACTTCAGAAAATGTTATAGGAAGTGTGGCCTATCCACATCTTTCGAAGATAGACATCCCAAACATTAGTGCCCTGGGATTTGAGCTCTGGAATCATCAAGAGTGGAGAAATTGGGGACCAGACAAGAAGTGCTAAGCCTCTTTTCTTCTCACCTGAGCCTAGAGTAGGCTGTGTTGGGCTACATTCTGGTTTTTAGCAGTTACCTGGAAGTTGTACTGATATTTCTCTTCTTGTGTCAGTTTTAGTCAGGCAGAAAATAACAAACATGAGGGTACTTTTGTGACTTAAATTTTGTTCATGGGGCTAAATTGCTTGTGTCTAGTCCCTGTCAGCAGAGCTGAGAATTTTCTTTCATAAATAAACCAAAGTCAGTAGCTGGAGATATGGTTGAAAGTGGTTTATGGTTTAGAAGCTGTGCTATCTTGAGAAATTATGAGATACTGCTAAGAAAAAAATGATCTTGTTCTTGAAATGTAACTTGAAAACAAAATAAAATGTGGAACATAATGCTAATGTAGAATTGTGGTGGAGGTGGTGGTGGGGGTGGTGATTGTAAATAGGAAACATGAATGTTCTTCTTTTCTTCTTATTAAGAAACTCTTATTGAATGACATCTTTTCCCCCCATTTGCTCTCTCACGAATGACCTTTGTGTTGCTCTTCCCAAGATTGTGTTTGTGTTCACTGTTGTAACTGACATGAGGGTCTTCCCATGTTTTAATTGGAAACCCATTTTGGTAGGATTCCAGAGATGACAAGCTGTCTTTCTGGAGTACTTTGGCCATTATCTGGTTTGCTTTCTTGTTGCTTTTTAAAATAGTGATTTCTTTCTCCAGGTATTTATGACAGCCCCTGGATTTGGGTATTTAAGTAGAACAGAGTGACCTGTGGAATTGGCTTAGAATTTAACCACCTGCCCCTGTGCTCTGTGAAGGTAGGGGTTTAGCATTCAGTCTGGCCTTGTGTGCATTTGTAGCTACCAAGGTGCTTTGAGATCTTTCCAGTGTATTTGGGAAAGAATTGAGTGAATGAAGAATGATCTTCCTTATTTGGTAGATTTGACAATATTTGTTTATATTCTGCACTTTAGAAGGAAAACAGTGTTAATCTCTGTCTAAAGCAAATTTAGTCAGTGGGAGAGGGCTCGGCTACTGTTGCTTTTCCCAGTAGATTTAGATAAGGGATTTTGTTTTGAAACTTTTTGTGGGCTCTTTTAGAAAGCATTGCTTTAGAGTATCAGGGGGAAATAGTATTGCCGGCCAGTTTGGTTTCTAGTCAAATCCATTCTCTATTTTGTCCTGTGGCCGTAAAAATCCAAAGCCCTGAATGATTGTTTTCTGTTCATTTTAAGCATTGATATTATCTTAATACAGAGATACCTAGTAGAAAATGTGTGGTTGACCTTTTTTGTAAAGATACATTTTCAGGTTTCTTCTGCAATTTCATATCTTGGCCCCCTTAAACAAGATTGAAACCTAAGGTTTAGCTTGTTCCCATATCGCTGTGTGTTAGGTGACTAGAAACCTCTTTTGTGTAACCAGCTCTTATTTCTCTGTGAGCCTTCGTTATGTTTGAATTCACTGGCTTTGTGATGAGGCCAGTTCTGTGAGAGGATCTGAGGTGTTACAATTTTAGCGGGGGTGGGGTAAAAAGTGATCCCAACCTTAAAAATTATTTTGTCATCCATGACTTTAAAATGCTGCCCTTGTGGTTAAATGACAACATATTTACAGAAAAATTACAGATTTGTTTAAGCAAAGCTTTTTGAAGTGTAATGAAGCCATAGCCAGCATAAGCACTGGGTAACAGAAATCAGTATTGGTTCTACTTAGAAGGACTGGGGACAGATGCAACATGGGAGCAAGATATTATCTAAATCAAGTAATTAAATTTCCAGTTTGTCCTTGGAGTTCTTTGTGCTTATATGTTTGGTTTTTTTTTCTAATCTGGAAAGAGTCCTCCTTTGATGAGGAAGAAGGCAGACATGGACATTATAAGAACTTTCCTGCTTTTGAGTTCTTTAGTACCGTTGTATGATGGCTGTCTTGCTAGTCTTTTACCCAATATTTTTTGTCAGCCCTGCTATTTGTGAATGGCTATGTGTTCTAGAAGCATCAGGGTAAAAAGTTGCACTGACCAAAGCTGCACTTTTAAAACACAGCCCCTGTACTGGTGGTGTCTTCACCTGCTCCGTGAGCCTTTTGCCAGCCTCAGAATAGGCCAGGTAACCTTGAATTTCAGACATCTGGAAGTTCTATCTAAAGCTGCCTTTCATACTGCACACACAAGCACCAGACGCCCTGAACTTGTACTGCATTCAGTGGTTCCTTATTTTTTGTGTGTGTTGAGTAACATGAAACCCTGTAGGGGCAGAGGGCACTAAAGTTCAAGGACAGGTTCTAATCTAAATTTAAGCAGCCTCATTTTCTGCAGGACTCAGAACTATTTCGTGATGCCTTTTCAACCAGCCTTGTTTCTTGAAGTCAGACTGAGCATCAGCAGGATGTAAAGGGGACCCTTTCCCTTCTTGTTGGTAGAAAAAACACACACTAGAATCCTGGCCTTGAATTTTAATGCCATGCTCTGTCCAGCATTAGCAATAAGACACTATTCCTCACTCAGTATTGATGCCAAAATGAAACTCGCTGTCACCAGCACCTTTGCGTCAGAATTTCTGACTGCATGTGGCCTGTGGCATGGTTCGTACATGGGGACCTGGCAGATGGGGCAGGTTGAGGAGGGAACTTGATGCTTGGTTCCTGCTAGTTATGTGGTTTGGCACTCAAGTTTTTGTTTTTGATTTCATTTTTCCTCCGGTTTGATTTACACTGAAGATTTGAGTCACAGCAAGCTACGTTTGAACCTGTGCTGGGTGGTGATGTGTTAACAGTCACATTGCTGAAGCCCTGAGCCTGAAGCTTATCCTTTGCCTCCGACCTGTAGCACTTTTGTAGTAGGTTAGGTTTTTAACTGATATTACTTAGCTTTGGGAATGGTGCCACTCAAAAACAACTTCCAAACTTTGAGAATAACTCCATTCTAGTGAAGTGCCTGTTAGTGGTGCCTTGTTTTAGGATGCTGTTACAGCTTTGGCTCCAACATCCTCTTCCAGAGAGTAGAGTTAAAGTTAATCAACTGTGAGAAGAAATCCTGATACTCACCAGGGCCATTACCTTCTGGGTATCTGAGTGAGGCTGTACACTAGGGAAGTCCCTCTGTGTGGATTCTGTACATTGAAAGAACTTCCAGTTTCCAAGGTTAAGATTCATATCCTAAATCGGGCAGACAGTGCTTGCTTCAGCAGTACACAGACTATACCTGGCAGACATCACAAACTTACAACCGACTTACAACATATTCCAATTCAACCAACTAAACTCAGAGGACCAACCGAGATGGTTAGAGGAGAGGTATTTACAAAGACCTGGCAGCTTTTTGGACTAGTGGAAAGCTCAAAGGAAAGAAAAGGCCTATTTTGTGTGTTAAAGTGCCTACATTGTGTTTACCTATTACTTTTTTAAAAATAGTTTAAGTGTAAGCTAAAGATAATGCTTGGAGTTCTGCATGGGATATTGAGGGTTGTTGAAAATTCTCATGTGTGCTTACTGGACAGGAAGGTGAGATGACATCCACTGAAGAGGAAGTAGTTAACATGGATCTAATCATTTTTTAAAACTTAAGCTAACTGATTTTTTAAGGGTGAAATTTAATTATCCTAAAGCAGCTATTCATATTCAAATTGATATAGAAAAAAGTGAGATACTAATTAGACTAAATTGGAAGATCTTTTTTCTATATTTGCTTATCTTTGAAGTACTTTTTTTTTTTTTAGCATGCCCAGGCTATGTGGGTTTCCTCTTTGGTAATGGTCACTCACCTTATTCCTTAAGCAGATGAGATCACCTGTCAATGCAAATGTGTTAGAACTTGGTGAAATAAAGCTTTTGAGTGTGAAATAAAGGTATATTTAAAAATTTTAAAAAAGCTTTGTCAGTTATGCTTATTGCTTTGTTTCTCTTCAGTGTGAAACTCATTTCAGGTTTCAGGAGACATGGAGATGAACAGTTATTACCACTTCAACCTTGGATCCTGTTCTGAAAGGTAGTGGTCTGGGTGGTGATGGTGAGGTACACTGGAGTCCATAAACCCCTTAAGTGTCCAGCTAACTTAAACTAAGCTTCATTGTGGACCTCAGTCTGTTGGTAATCCATACTGCAGGATGGATCTTGAAACATGTCTTCACTGGCATCCAATGTGACCCAGTGTTCTCAACCCCAAATCTCTTTCAGTAAGAAAACCAAATAACCCCAGCCATACTATGGGCAGCTACTACCAGAGGTTCCTCACAACTCCTAAGAAATGTGGGTGTGACTAAGAATATCTGGGAAGCTGATAGATATTTGAGGGTTGTGAAGAGAAGCTGTAGACCACTGGTGGTGAACCTCTGGTGTGTGTGTGTACCATGGTGGGCTGTTTGTTATCACTGAAAGCTCTCAGAAATTTCCCATCACTGCTGTAGACTGTGTGTACTGATTCCTTACAGCCACTTTCCACCTTTCTAAACCTCCCCCTCATTCTGGCACCTTCCAAGATCTCTCTTCTGGGCTGAGTTCTATCATCCAAGTTCTGTCATCTTCACTAATAAATTGGTATCATTTCCTGTAAAATCCTTCGGCTTTCGATCAGAGTGCTGCTGCTCTTATAAGCTTTTCAGTCGAAGGATGAGCATTCTCTGCAATCCAAAAGGGGTAGAACCTATCCAGATAACTTTGCATGTTAATTCAGTAACTCTTTCTCCTCGGATGCCCTATTGGAGGCTCCATTATCTCCATGAGCTTTACAGTTGACTGACTGTCTACTCAGCCTGGTCAGACTCTGGCTAGCTATGGAACTGCTCATGATGATTGCTCCCTCTATGATCGCAAAAAGTTGAATCAGTTGCAGAGCAGTTTTCCCAACTGATGTTTGCCCCTTAGCCCGTCACACTGTACTATGTAAAAACCTTCTGAAATGGTCCTTTACCTTCTTGATTGCCCTCAATTCTTGTTTGGACCACTTTTCAAGTCTTGTTATTTATCCCCATGATTTTTGATTCCTCCAAGAGATCTTCCTAAAGCCAATGTGTGGTGCCTCTCCCCATACATTAAAACTTTTTCAGACCATGCTGTGCAAGAACAGGCTTCAGACTGTTATTTGTGGAGCCCTTCAACCCCTGGCTACCTTACCATTCTTTTCCTACTTCCTACTTTGACTTCCCTGGCCTGCTTATAGTTTCAGAGCACAGTGCCTCCCGGGCATCCACCGTATGGCACAGCAGTTTTCTAAAAACTCGGTGTCTCACTTTGCTACCACCTTTGGCTTCCTGGACCCTGTCCCTGAAGTTTCCCCTGCCTCCTGTTTCTCCTGGTGCCCTTTACTGAGTTGCATCACTTCTACACCTACATATCGAGTACCTCTGTGTTCTTGTCCCCTCCGCCTGCCGCCCACACAACTGGCATAGATGTTGAGCTTGGTGTTTTTGTCCCTGGAGAACTTGGACTCTGGCCACCAGCAAGGAGGAGGATGAATCCTGGATATTTACCTGGAAGTGTTGTAATGCCCCATTCTGGTGCCAGAAATCAGTCTCAGGCACTGTCCAGACCAATATTTACATGCAGAACAGCTTGTGTGGGAAGTGGTGGTGCTCAGTTCCCTGGACTGAGTAGTCACGTCCTGGAACACTGTGACGCTGTTGATCACAAATGTTTCACCTGAACACTGTCATTACTTAAGGCTGAAGGCTTCAAACTTGGCCATATTCTTCTTGACTGTCCACTCACCCAGTCCTCCCAACACACCCATCTGGTGGTTTAGTAGGATTTGTCCCATGTCATCTTCAAGTGTTAATTGAGGTTCTGATTGCCACTCAGCCTCTCTAAGATCTCCGAAGTGCACATCTAAATGAGTGAGAAGTTTTTTCCCCCTTCACTGTCCAAGGAGGTATTTGAATATGGTGGTAACACACTTGGTTGACGTTTGGGATGCTGCTTGTTGAAAACTGCTGACAGCGTTAACGACTTAAGAGGGTTTACCAGATAAACTTTCATGAGATACATTCTTACACTTCTGCATGACCACAGAAAAGCTTACCAGGTGAGTGATTTTATCTCCTAATATACCTTATTGCAGACAAAGGCAGAGGGAAGTGAGAGATCACACCAAGACTGAGGTGCAGAAAGCAGTCAAATAGCATCGTGGTGAGTGGTCTACTCTCGCTCTCCCAGCCTCCTGCCAAAACTTGAAGAAGGAATTGGTGAAACTGAGTGATTTCCTACCCCAAGTGACTGCAGCATAGCTGGTTTCGTACCTCCTGGCCTCATGCTTTCTCCTATACCACGGGGCCGTGTTCTGGGAGCAAATGCTATCCAGGAGAATGTGCTGTCCTAGCAGATGAACCACATGCCTGTCTGCCTCTTGATCTACATCCCTCTCAAACAGATTTCTGTGAGTGCTGCCAGAAAAGCTGGATGATGTTGGGAGGCTTGGTTTCATGCCATCCCTGCCCTAGCTTGGAGCAGTCCAATCTGCCTATTCTGGAAAGTAACTGGATCGCACATCTCTCACCTCAACTCCAGGACCTTTTCCCCAAAGCAGATCAGCTCCCAGGCTGTTTTCATTAGAGGAAAGGAATGAGAAACATGGGTCACCTGCATTTCTCTGATGCTTATCTGGGAAGAGGTATCCCAGGCTCACTGTGTGCGAGAGAAGCCTGGAGACCAGCAGCATACCAATGACTTTGGCTAGACTATTCTAAACAATTTTAATCCATCTCCTCCACATGGATGTTACATAAGGCTTTGTTCAAGGGGTTGGTTAGAAACTAAGCTGTGGGAAATGAAATGCCTTGTATTTGATGAAGACTTTAGGGCTCACCAAATACACATTGCATGTATGTTAGCTCGTGGACTTCAGAAACCTAAGAGAGGCAGCCACCTTGCCACTGGACAGACAAGGAGCCAGAGTGTAGTGTGCTTCTGAATTGTCCACAGCTCCACATCTCCTGAGAGGCTAGGCGGGTGCACAAAGATCTGACTGCACAGCCAGTTCTTGCTCTTACGACCCTGAAGGCATGCTGAAGCCTACGTGGTGTGCAAGTATAAATTTTTATGCCAGCCCTTCTCAGGGGCCAAGGAGGTGTTGAGTTGCCTGGTAATAGATCCGTTTTCACTTATGCAGGAATTCCTTAAACAAGCCAGCAGCTTTTCTCAGACAACCCTCCCTTTGTGAATCATGTTGGGGGGCCATGCTGTAGGTGTTGACAAGTTTGGGGCATACTCGCAAGTGCCAAGTCTGTGCTAAGCCACAGCATTTAATCTCCCAGCAGCTCTGAGATGGAGAATTGTTTAGAGACAAGGAAACTAACATGTTAGATGTCTGGCAGGGCCAGCACACAACTGTGGGGTGTCTGACTTTTAGTCGCCCAACATTATTGTTGGTCTTTATCTTATATTTTGTGGAGTGGCACATGGAAGAGGCACAAGGGAGCAAATAGCCTGCCTTCCAATAGGAGTGGCTGAAGAGGAGTGAGAATGCCAGAGCAACTGAGTAAACTGGTTAGTTAAAAACAAAAATTAAGCCAAGTTAGAATTAGGTGCCTATTGTGTTTGGCATGAAATTTTCAATTAGTCTTGAAACAGCTTTTCCCTAAACCCTTAACTAAGAAGCCATGTAATATAGGGGTATTTTAAACTACTTGGGAGCTGTTGGCACAGGGCTTTTGCAAGTCTGGAAACTGCTTCCCCTGTAGCTCTGGTACAGTGAAACCAAGAAGGGAGGGTACTCACAAAACTAGTAGCAGAACATGTAGCTGTTGCTGGAGTCAAACACCTGCAGATTTTCATGTACTAAATATAGTAGAAGTTGGGGTCATCTTATCTGTAAATAAACACTACAGTGAGGCAAACACTTGTATGAAAAGAATCTTTACATTGGCTCCTGTGCAGCCAGGCTGGGAGAAGCAGTGTTTGGGCCCAGAATGGCTGGCTGGCAATTTGCTGCTATGCCACACCCCAGCTCTTCGTGCTCCCAGGCCACAAGTCCCTTGGTGGTTCTTGAAGTCACCTTGGTGTACCTGTCATCCCTGTGTCTTTTGTCTCCCATTCCCACACCTCAGTTCCCCAGGCCTTCACATGATCTGAGTGTGGACAGAGCAGAGTCCTTTCTCTCTCCAGCTCTGGCAGCACACTTTTCAGCAGGCTTGTTTTCCACCCTCTTTATATATTACTGAAAGGAAAATGATTCTTTGTTTTGCCTGCAGAATTTTGGCCATGGCTGAGCAAGCATAGCTCGTTTCGTACATTAACCCGGGGGCTTTCTGCTGCAATTCTGGGCTCTGTGGCCCCAAGAGCATACTTCAGCCTCTTCTCTGAGTGCCAGCTGGAGACTAGGACCCCAGGTGTGGATCCCTTCTGCGGGGGGCAGTAGGGCAGTGAGCCAGTGGGAGAAGCAGAGCTTGGGAGCCCAAGTTCAGACACAGTGCACCGCCTCCTCTCTCATGAGCTCACAAGCTGACTAAGATCAGGTATTCTCCTCATGAGTCCAGAGCAGTGATAATACTGACTTTGGAGTTAGGAAGAAGGAAGGGCAAAAACTGTTTTCTCTAAAGCACAAACCCTGTATCAGGTGCTTACACATGCATACATTAGTAGATATTCTATTCCTTCTGGGAATTTATAATATTCTTGAGGAGTTAAACTAAATTCCTAGCATTCCTAAATGTTAAAGCCCCAATGTTTATATGTCGTGGATTCTTTGACCCTATTGGGTATCAGGAAGGAAATAATACCAACTACAAGTTATTGGGATTTATGCAGGCTGATTAATGGTGTCACCTATACTGTGGCGGATGGTCATCACAGTCTAGCCAGCTAAGTGGGATGGTCTCTCCCTTCCAGGCCCACTCCACAGATGAGAAGTCATGGCTTAGAGAGGTTGAGCAATATGCC